GTAAAATGGTTAATAATGTGGTTTTTACACTCTCAGAAATGAAGGTACAAGAGCTGTGGTGGTACCTTTTCAAAAGGTACATATTTGTACTTAATGGATATATATTGGTACCTCAAAGGTATATGACTAAACATTTAAAGAGGTACACTTTTGTACTTTTTAGATACAAATATACCCTTGAGGTAAGGATCCTTTAAGTACAAATATGTACCTTTCGAATAGGTACCACCCCAGTGACAGCCTTTGTACCTTTATTTTCTGAGAGTGTAATTATTTGGTGAGCTATTTTTCTAATAGTGAGACAACAGCATTCATGTAGTACTAGGGGTTGGGATTTTAATATATGTTTATTGAAATGAAGTAGTGGGCAAAAATATGTTTTATACACCAGTGATATCATGTGGAACAAATGACTTTAGGAGGTTCAAATAAGCAATCAAAGTATGTTTTTTTGATATTTAGTTTGCATGGTGGATGATGATGTTTTTTATATGTTATTGTATAGTGAATAATTTTGTTTCTGTTTTAAAATGTGATAGTAGGCTACTGTTTGTTTTATGCATTAACTGTACTTAGTTTTTTTAACAGTGAAGACCTTAGCGAGGTTTTACTGTGTTTTTATCCTTAATGGTTTTATTTCAAAATATATGGGATACTTGTATTTTTGTAGTTTGTTTAAAATTTGTCAAATAAAAATTCAAGAGATGCATACATTTCTAAATTGTGAATAAACAAAGAGCTTATACTCATATTTCTAAAAATAAAATGTCTAAAAAATTCAGAGATTTTAATGAGGAAACAAAGCATTTTTATCTGTCAATACTTCTTGTAAAATGCTCAGTGAAGATACATCAGAATGTATTTATTTACTTACTTATTTTTCCTTTATTTAGCCAGGAAGAATCACAGTCTTCCTTCCAGGGAGACCCGGTCAAGATAGCAGCACATAAAGTTGCACACAAAACAAGCAACAAGACAAAATAATCATACAAAACTAATAAAAGTAAGAACAAGATCGAATTTGATTTTTAAGAAAGCAACTTACCGAAAAGCGCCTTTGCAATAAAAATATACATACAGCATGCAGCTTCTTCCTTTGAAAAGGCTATATGCCATGTGTTTCAAGTGAACAATGCTGTGTATGTAAATCTGCAACACAAACTAGTTGTAATGCGTTGATAGACAGAGTCTAGTTTTTTATTATATTTAAAGATGCATATCTAATAAATCAGGCGAGGCAGTGGTGCAGTAGGTAGTGCTGTCGCCTCACAGCAAGAAGGTCGCTTGGTCGCTGGTTCGAACCTCGCCTCAGTTGGCGTTTCTGTGTAGAGTTTGCATGTTCTCCCTGCCTTTGCGTGGGTTTCCTTCGGGTGCTCCGGTTTCCTCCACATTCCAAAGACATGCGGTGCAGGTAAATTGGGTAAGCTAAATTGTCAGTAGTGTGTGAATGTGTGTGTGGATGTTTCCCAGAGATGGGTTGCGACTGGAAGAGCATCCGCTGCGTAAAAACGTGCTGGATAAGTTGGCGGTTTATTCTGCTGTGGTGACCCCAGATTAATAAAGGGACTAAGCTGACAAAAAAATGAATGAATGAATGAATGTATCTAATAAATCACCATAATCATTTATTCATTCATTTTCATTTGGCTTAGTCCCTTTATTCATCAGGGGTCGCCACAGCGGAATGAACTGCCAATTTATCCAGCATAAGTTTTACACAGCGGATGCCCTCTGCAACCCATTAGGAAGCATCCATACACTCTTAATCACACTCACGGCCAATTTAGTTTATTCAATTCACCTGTATCACATGTCTTTGGACTGTGGGGGAAACCAGAGCACCCAAAGGAAGCTCAATCCAAACACGGGGAGAACATGCAAACTCCACATCACTATAATCAATAACAGACAAAAACGTACTCTCCACTAATTTTATTTTGGAAAAAGTTTTGGCTTCAGCTTTTTCAACAAATATTTTCATATTTCATATAACCAAACACTATAGACATTTATATGTCTTGACTTTTTCAATAGTTATGCCATCTATTGTCGAATTGACCAAATGCATTGTTTTTGAGTGAGTGCGACTAAAAATCAAGTACTTCTTTGCTGTTGTATTTAATACCAATTTCGACTGAAGTAAGATCTGTTGTATAATATTTGAGGCTGTATGTAAATTTGGTAGAACTTCATTTAAAGTTAATGCTGCAGTATAAATTATTGTGTCATCCGCATATAAATGTACCTTGGTGCAGTTCACTCCAAGGTCTTGATCATTAATGGAAATATAAAAGAGGTGCTAAAATAGACCCTTGGGGAACTCCTTTTTTACATGACAAAAAGGGGAACTAAATTTTTTTTTAATTGGAGTTCAAAATTAAATAAATTAAAAAATAATCACCAAAACCAACAACCGATAATTTCCCCATAGACCGTCTAAAAATGTTTGGGACACAGTTTTGTCGATAAAATTAAACTTACAACTATTAACAGCATTAAATACTAATCTTTTTTTTCATTCAAAACACTGGTCATGTGTAGATATTTCCGCCATTGTGGTTAACGTGGAAGCTGTCAGTTGAGCGGCATTGTTATTAATATGGTTGAATGTCAGTGGAAAACAGAGGAAGTGTTTGATGGGATGGATCTACTTCCTCATGTGTCAGACTCTGTTCCTCCCCCCACATCTGATGCACAGAATGACTCTCATATTGAGAAATGCTATTAGTGTGCATTAGAACACATTTACACGCAAGAATTTGACCACAGCTTTGTTGAGACTTGATCAAAGTTTTTGAGAGCTGGGAAAATATTATAGCTACTCATTACAGACATGATACACCCATATTTGTGTAATGAAAAGCATCTAAGGAATGATATGATAAACAACTTTTTACTTTTTTGTGAATCAAAAGCGATATTAAAGGGGTTTTCACATAAACATGGCACTCCTTTGTGTGACTCCAAACCTGTATAAGTTTCACAACACTATTTACTAACATTATTTACTCAACAGTCATTCTTTTATAAAGCAATCTAATTTATTACATACAATTGCATTGTTCATTATCTGATCAGCAACCTCACATCAGTGTGAATGTGACAAAAATGTCAGTTATGCAATATTGTTATGATCTATTATTATAAGCGTAAAACCCATTTTTTATTTGAATATATCATTGTACTAAATTTAAAAGAACGTTTATTCCGAGAAGTGCCGGTATTAATCTTATTGTAATGAATGGAATTCAATTACATTTCTTGTTATTTATAAATACTTATTAGTCAATAGTCTAAAATTCTGAAACATGCACATAAATTTTCACCTGTTGTCTACTTGAAATTTTAATAACATTTATTTGACAAACATAACATCAAATACACTGTAAAAAGGGATGGTTTCCACACAATCTAATTCGGTTTTACAAGTTTGTTGATTGAACTTGAAACAATTAATCAAAAACCTCAAGAATTACATATTTTAAATGTCTTTTTAACAAACAGCAAGCATAATTTTTTGAGCGTAATATAAGTGGAATTAATATCTGTTTACTTAATTTACACATTGATCACTTAGTTCTTCACCTCAAATGCACTGTATTTTATACTGTATTTTATAATGACAGTATTTTTGCCATATACAGTGGATACGGAAAGTAAACAGACCCCCTTAAATTTTTTTACTTATATTGCAGCCATTGTCTAAAATCATTTATAAACCAGGCTCATTCTGAAAACTTTCCCTTATATACAGTTGAGGTCATTTCTAATAACTCATTTCTAATGACTGATTTATTTTATCTTTGCCATGATGACAGTAAATAATATTTGACTAGATATTTTTCAAGACACTTCAATACAGCTTAAATTGACATTTAAAGGCTTAACTAGGTTAATTAGGTTAACTAGGCAGGTTAGGGGAATTAGGCAATTTATTCTATAACGATGGTTTGTTTTGTAGACTATCGAAAAAATGTAGCTTAAAGGGGCTAATAATTTTTCCGTAAAACGGTTTTTAAAAAATTAAAAACTGCTTTTATTCTAGTTGAAATAAAACAAATAAGACTTTCTCCAGAAGAAAAAATATTATCAGACATACTGTGAAAATTTCCTTGCTCTGTTAAACATCATTTGAGAAATATTTAAAAAAGAAAAACAAATTAAAAGGTGGGCTTATAATTCTGACTTCAACTGTACATTTCCGGAGAGAGCAAAATACATCCCAGGAGCTACATTTCTTCCAGTTTTTGTTTTCGCAAATCCGTCAGAGGCTGCTGTGTAAACTTTTTCAGTTCTCAAATTTCTCTTGGGAGTGCCATTTGCACCTGCTATTCTCACGTAAATCCACCAAAGGCCGCTGTTGACTGACTAACTGACCTACTGAATGACTGACTGACTGACCAACCCACAGATCCCCCCACCCCCTTCCCTAAACCCAACCAATAGTGTTTTAAAAAGCACTGTTTTGACCTGCTTACCCCCTTTCTGTTAAAACAAGCGCAGTGATTTGAAAAGCAGTCCAGAAAAAGAAAAGGCCCTTGATTTTTACAACGTTTTCAGATTTTACTACATTCTCACCCTGTTATTTACCTGTTTATTTCCACTGAGGCATCCACTGTGTAAAACAAATTCTGGAATAGTTGGCAGTTTATTCCGCTGTGGTGACTCCTGATAAATAAGGGACTAAGCCAAAGGAAAATGAAGAAAATAAAGTTTAAATTTGGACTTTAAAGATAATAATATGACTTACTAAATCTCTATTATGACTTACCAGTTAAATCTCACAATTCTAACCTTTTAAGTCATATTTTTGATTTAGAATGTTGAAGTTTTTAATTAAATGTTAAAAGTTGATTTAGAATTTTGTGGTAATTAAGACTAAGAAAATTCTAAAAACTTAAACGTAAAAAAGATGCAGTTTTTTTTTTTAAATTGAATGCAAATCTCATTTAAAATGTGCATAAAAATATGCAGTACACTTATCATGCAATAAATAAATGTAAATATGCAATAAATGTATTGAGTCATGGCATACATGTTTCAACAGAAATGACATTACAGTAAATTTGATCAAAATGCTCATCAGTATCATTGCCTGCAACCTTTAACCATATTTTAAAGACTAAAATATCTATGAAAGGACATGTAAATATTAAATAAATTCCTAGTAAACTAAAAAACTAATTACATATAATAATACCATTTGTACTATAACATTTTCATTTAATCGCAGTTAACGTGCAATTAAGAGTCTTAAAGCAGTACATTTGAATATATTCTACCTAAAGCATATCATTTTCATAAGTACTCTTTTCTAAAGTGTACTCTGTGTATGTTTCCCCCTCGCAAAGTCTATCAATGCTTTTAGTTCTTCTGAGAGCTTCCTATGAACTTCACTTGAAGCGTGACACACTGCCGCCAATGCAAATGCAAGAGCATACGAACATCAGTATGACACAGATTCAACACAGGGGACATCAGCAGCACACAGACAGCTTTATGGTGCTGATGCAAAAAGAATCATCCTCTTCACCCAACCTGTTCGGCAGCTTCCCACAGGACTGGTTTGAGCTGAAGACATCCTGGCATGTGTGGAGAAAATGCTGCTGTCTGTTTAAGGGCCACTGGAATGCACAAGCCCCCCTTTCTAAAGAAAAAAAAAAATCCCCACCAGTCTTGACCGCGCACCTGTGCAAGTAGTTGAAGATGCAATTGTTGTCCAGAGTCTCCGCCTCCTGCATTCCAGCCCCTTCCCCACACTCCTGCTGCATGCTGGGACGTCCCTGACAAACGGGTGCGCGTGCAGCAGTCAGGCAGGTCCTAACAGGCATTCTATTCCCAGCTCCAAAATATTCATGGAATGCAGCTCTTACCTTTTTTCTGTTTTCAATGGCTTACCTTTAATGTGTTTTCGTAAAAGCATGTTTCTGCTGTAGAATTAGAAAGTAGAAAGGAAATAATATTTAGTCTCAGAATTCTGGCTGTTAAAAAATCTAAAAAAATGATGAATGACTAAAACACCCATGTTTTTACTTTTGAATGCTCTCCAACTAGTGGTAAGATTTTAAATATGGCAAACATCCTCAATTGTTTTAGAAAAAAAGTTTTCCATAAATGAAAGATTTTGAACTAATGATTTGAGAACATGGTGGTTCATTCCGCTGTGCCGACCCCTGATTAATAAAGGGACTAAGCCGAAAGGAAAATGAATGAACGAATAAGAACATTATTATAAAAAAAAAACTGTGAAGTATTTAAGCTTAAAAATTTTCCAAAAAAAAAGAGAAACATAAATATATTAACTACACTGTAAAATTGTAAAAAAAATATATATATAAAAAATTAAACCAATACAGCAACAAAAAACCATTATCCTTATTTCCTTTCTCTTTTTCTTGTTCACTCAATTTTTGAAAACATCAGCTGCACCGACCTATGAAATTATTTTGTAACAAAACTTTTTAAGTTGTGCCAACTGAACATTTTTGTCTGCAGAACTGAAATGCCTGAAGTTGAGTGAACAAAAAAACAAACATAATCTTTATTTCCTTTAGTTTTTTCTCGTGTACTCAACTTTTGAAAACAAAAACATTTCTGAAGTTGAGTAAACAAAAAACTATTTTGGTATTTCGTACTAAGAAATAATACATTTTCAGAACAAACAAACATAGTTCAATTAAAAACAAACAAACAAAACAAAAAAACAAACAAACAAAAAAAAAGTAAAACAGAGACAAATGTTAACAAAACCAGAAACTGATTCCTCAATTTTAATTGTAATTTAAGCATTTGATTTGTCGTTTAATTATTACAGCATTTTACTGAGTTGTTCATGAAAATTAAATCTCAACTACAGTATATTAGATTAAGAATGCATTGTAATTTTTTTATTTGATCGTTTTAGCGTTTGATTTATCACTTGAGTATTGTTTTGAAAGTTCCATTTATTATTTGATCTTTTTGGACATTTAAATTTTCATTTTAATTTTGTAAGAAAACGTCCATATATATATATATATAATAATAATACAAGTCAACAGTCTACATGCGCTTAGCATTTCTTTTTATAAAGTGAACTATAGGTAAAACTAAGTAAATTCACTTTTAAAGTCTTTCTGCAGCTCCCTAAAAAAAGATAAATTGCAAATGAATAATAATTTTAAATTATGTTAGCAATATTGTTGTATTTTGTTGTTGTTGTTAATAATAATGACATTATTATTGGTGCTACTATTATTTTTGTCCTTTTAACTTAATGAAGAAAATTTTGATTTAGGTTCAGTAAATGCGTTAAATGTAGTTGTACAAACATTTTTACTGATTTTTGCTAAACTAACAACAATAAAAAATAAATAAACTAAAACAACTAGTTTCAACTTTTTTCAATTTGGATTTTTTACAATGATATTAATTTAAAAAGAGACATCAATTACAAGGTGGAAACTCCAATTCCATTAAAAATTATTTTTTCACAATTTTAAGATTCCAATTCCAATTCTGAGAAAAAATTCTGAACTGGCAGGTGTAAACCAGGGATAAATTCAGCATGAAAAGTCAGAAATGTGAGATATAAACCCAGAATTCAGACATTTTGGGATTTTTCAATATTCTGAAAAAAGTTAGAAATGTGAGACATAAATCCAAAATTTGAAAAAGTCAGAATTGCATGATCTAGGCTAAGAATTCAAGTAAAACAATACCGTGATATGTACAATTTTGAATTATTAGGAAGCGAAAATTTTAATTTAGAGATTTTAACAGAATTCATTTATTTTCCTTCGGCTAAGTCCTTTTTTTATCATGAACCGTCAACTTATCCAGCATATGTTCAACACAACGGATGACTTTCCAGCTGCAAACCAGCACTGGCAAACACCCATACACTCTCACATTCATTCATACACTAGTTTATCCAATTCACTTATAGCGTATGTCTTTGTTGGGGAAATGGGGATGTTGGGGAAACAGGATCACCGGGAGGAAACCCACGCCAACACGGGCAGAAGGCAAAACATGCAAACTCCGTACAGAAATGCCAACTGACAGGACTCGAACCAGAGACCTTCTTGCTGTGAGGCGACATTGCTAACCACAGAGCCACTATGTTGCCCATATAAAAAAATGTGAAACACAAATATATGAATAAGTTATTATATTTAAAAAGAGACATCAATTACAAATGTGAAACTCAAATTTTCATTGATGATTTTTTCGTGGAGTTTGCATGTTCTCCCCATGTTCGCGTGGGTTTCCTCCGGGTGCTCAGATTTTCCCCAACAAGTCCAAAAACATGCGGTACAGGTGAATTGGGAAGGCTAAATTGTCTGTTGTGTATGAGTGTGAATGAGTGCGTATGGATGAAAGGGCATCCGCTGTGTAAAACATATGCTGGATAAGTTGACGGGTTATTCCGCTGTGGCGACCCCAGATTAATAAAGATACTAAGCCGAAAAGAAAATGAATGAATGAATAAATGAACCTTGCAGTTTAAAACTTAATTTACTATCACAAGGAAAGTCAGTTACCTTTTTATTTAATGTTTTGTTTTATTCCATGCTGCAAACTAGCTTTCATACTTTTCATAGGAATGCATTGGGCAGAAAAAGTGACACCCCACACTGTTCATGCCTGTACCTGTCCTCCACTTGTCAGATTACCACTTTCAGCTGTCAAACTACTATCCCAGCTATGACTGAACACTTTTTAGATTTAGTTTTTTGGACCAAATCAACTTAATACCTCAATTTACTACTAGCGGTCATCATTTTTTAAAAGTGGGCCTCGACTTTTGTTTTGGTTTTTAAAAAATTGCACCAGTCTTAAAGGAGCCTGGTGACTGCTATTGCACAGCTTGTGTGTACATACACTACATAATCCACTTCTATTGTTGATTTCTGGCTCTCTGTACATCCTGTCCTTTTTCTGTGGGCAGTTCGGGCATGGCGAGACAGGCTTGTTCGAAATGTTGTGGTTGTTCTGCATTAGCTGTAAGCCTTCAGGCAAAGCTTGCAGAATACCGTTTTGAGACCCCACCTGTATTTATTTAGCAACTTCATTTGCACACAGTAGTGAAAACACCAGGTGCTCCAAATGTGAGATTACAAAAGAAAGGTTGTAATCATGCTAAACACTCATAAAAAGATCACAAACATGGTCTAAGTAAATCTTACATGATGCTGCATTTGATATTTTAGCAACGTAGCTTATATGGCTAATATTGCTGCTAGCGATTTTATTAGCTGTGGCTGCTAAGCTGCCTCATAACTATTAGTCATACTCCAATTTAATCATATAAACCACTATAAAATAAATCTGAAACTTTTTTTGCAATGATAAAAACATGAATTATACCACAAATTACACTTGAAACACACTTTAGCATTTAGCATACATTTATCAAGCACACTACTCACATTGTCTGGCTCAGCTGATTTTTTAGTTTGAAATCCATTTATTACCATGCATAGCCGTTATTATTGTTTAATTATTGTAGTTTTTTGCACACCATGGTTTTGATACTATAGTAATATTGGAGTAACAGTACAGTAAAACTGTTGGTAATGACTATGAATTTTAGATTTGGAAACCATGGTGGATAAAATCAACTAGTACAATAGTACTAGTACAATAGTACAATAGTACTAGTACAATAGTACAATAGTACATGGTTTTACTATATCTAACATTAGTTTTAACCATCCAATGCACATCTACAAAATAGAAACGTTTATGAGACGCTGACTAATGTTTAACGTACAAAGTAGATTTTTATTTCACATTACAGTTAAAAAAGCTAATTCAAAACAAGAATAAATACTACATGACTAAAACAACCTAATTACTTCCATTCAGATTCATTTGATAACACTTATATTTTAATACTTAAAAAAGTCTTACATTTAAATGACAAAGCAGCCAGAACTGTGCTTCATTGTTCTGGTTTACTATTAGTCTCAGTGGTCTTTTTGTCAGCATCCAGAGAGCATGAGGTCAGGCCGGGGGTCTTCAGAGAGGGCAGACCGTGGAGATGTTTATCAGACCTGCTCCGCTACCCTTTACTATATCTGACCCCCTCTCCTTAAAGCAGGGACCCATTGTCTCAGACCCATGGCTTTTTATTGCTTCTCTTAAATGACGGAGCTATGCTAACAAACAAAGGTTTGTGTTTGCTTGCCCAAGGTGTCAGTCTTCAGACTCCTTCACAATGGATCTCCAGTGTTTACACTCCAGTGAACTGAGGTTTACAAAGGCTGCCGCAAATTGGTTTGTTTAGAAGGGGTAATGACAAACATTACATTCTCTCACAATTGGTTCATTAAGATGACAATAACTTTGGGTAAACAAGTTATTAAGCTCTCTTTAGTGTCCCAGTGTCATACATTATCTCTTTGTAGTAGTGCCAGAAATACAAAGTAGGCTATATTGTGTATTTTAATAATGTGAACAATTAATTTAATATAATTTATTGATTCATAGTCAGTGTGCTAAAAATGCTTATGAAATATTCACTGAAACAGACACATTTTTACATGTGTTTATACTTATTTTATTTAGTTTTGCACACTTCTTCTTTCTGTTGCTTTGCAGTTGCTAGAGAAAGCATCAAGCAAAAATTCATATATGTGGAAAAAAATGAAAAATATTTCACAAAAACTGAAAAAGTAAGTCATGATTTACTCGCCCTTCACTTGTTCCAAACCTGTTTGATGTTTTACTTCTTAAATTGAACACAAAATAAGATATTTTGAAAATGCTGAAAACTGGTAGACAATGACTTTCATAATAATAATTTATTTATTTATTTATTTATTTATTTATTTTGATTGTCAGTGGTTACCTGTATCCAACATTCTTCAAATAATTTTTTGTTCAACAGAAAAAAACCCATAATTGTTTGAAACCACTTCAAGATGAGTACATAATGAGGAAAATTTCATTTTTGAGGGGTAAACTATCCCTTTAAGGGTCCACTTGAAAATTCTCAGTTTTCATATAACAGAAACATCTGCAGTCATATGTGAAATATGAGTTTTGGAATATTTTTAGGTAAAATGTGGAAATGTGATCACATGGGTTTATCAAAAAATGTCCCAAAACTTTTTGTGGTAACTCCTTTGTCCTATACCATGTTGCAAAAAAAAATTCTGCTGAGGTCTTTTGCAGGTATAGATATTAATGATAATAGTAATTTCTTCTAAATGTTAAAAAAGTTTTCATTTAGATTATACATTTTCAAACAACTTTATATATATATATTAGTTTTGAGATACAAGTTCTAATGTTTTAACTTCAAGGTACTTACGGAAGCAACATTTGACAAAATAATCCTGATTTTCATTCACAACAAAAAATGAAATGAAAGATGAAAAGATATTAAATTTTGACCTACTGATATTCATTCATTCATTCATTCATTCATTCAGTTTCTTGTCGGCTTAGTCCCTTTATTAATCCAGGGTCGCCACAGCGGAATAAACCGCCAACTTATCCAGCACGTTTTTTACACAGCGGATGCCCTTCCAGCCACAACCCATCTCTGGGAAATCCTATATATATTTCCTGTAAATAAGGGAGGGGGGTTCATCTCTAAATGAAAATATATATGTGTATATTTTTGGGGGAAAAAAATTTATTAGACCTTTATGTAATAAAACAAATATTAACATTTTGTGAAATACATAAGCAATAGATCCAGAACCTTAAGAAAAACTCATATAATGTTTAATTTTTTTTTCAAGATGTACTTAAATTCTCTCTTTAAGTTCATTCATTCATTTTCCTTCAGCTTAGTCCTTTCATTCATCAGGGGTCGCCACAGCGGATTGAACCACCAACTTAGTATAAGTTTTACGCAGCGGATGCCCTTTCAGCAGCAACTCATCCATGTGAAACAACCATACACTCTCATTCACAAACACTATGGACAATTTAGCTTAGACCATATGTTTTTGTCCGCATGTCTTTGGACTGTGGAGGAAACCGGAGCATCCGGAGGAAACCCACTCGAACACGGGAAGAACATGCAAACCCCACAAAGAAATGCCAACTGACCCAGCCGAGGCTCGAACCAGCGACCTTCCTGCTGTGAGGTGATCATGCTACCCACTGTGCCACCCTTTATTTTAAGTTTAAAAAGAACTTTCTTTAGAAGTTTCCAGAACGACACAGAAACGATGTTATTTGAGTCTCACTGGTGGCTATATCTAAATTAACTACACATGTTGACTGTTTGTCTGCAACTAGTCATTAATATCTATACCTGTAGTGGACCTCAGCAGATAATTTTACTAAACTAACAAGGTACAAGACAAAATCTTTTTTTTGTGACATATTTTGTGAAATAACATATTGTGTGAAACCCTTGTTATCACATTTCCACATTTCCCGTAAAAATGTAGAACTCACTCCACATGTTAAACTCATGTAAGGTTTGGTTTCAAAACATACCTCAGTATTCTCAGTTTAAGTTATTATTTGTAAAAATGTTCATTCTTTTCCAGTATTTCTTTTTAATAATTTATTATTATTATTATTATTTTTTATAATTTTCCAGGTAAACAATTATGAATCTAAATAGGTAATATCAGGTTTTTCATTTCCAATCTGCACATTTCAATATATTATTCATATCTGTAGCACACATGGGATGAAATTACATTTCTGCTAACATGACCACATACAGTTTTAAACCGGTTGAACTGGTTTATTTGTATTCAGTTATTATTTTGTCTCAGGAACTGCATATACAGTTATAGCTTATATACTAAATAAAAAAATGGGCAGCTTAATTTAACGGTCAGTTCTCATCATTAACTACTGACTTATTACCTGCTTATTTAGATATTAACAGTTTATTTATGAATGTATTATCTTATTCTACATTCCTTACCCTACTTAATATATCTAAAACCAACTACTTCTAACTATTAATAACAATAAGCACCAAATTAATACTTTATTGAACTAAAAGTCTTAAGCAAGAACTATACCTTAAAATAAAATGTGACCAAAAACTGACATATAGTGTGTTCCTACTTATTTTGCATATTGTCGAAGGGCTTCCTAAATTTATGAGTATAAACGTGTACTATGCATCAGCATTAATATAATAATAACTATAAAAAAAAGGTTAATTATAAAGTTTGTCTAATGCAATATTACTCATCACGTCATGTTTGGTATAGTGTTGCCAACTCTCAGGTATTGTTGTGTTTTCAGGTTGTATGAGTAGTTTCTTATTTCTCTTGTTTTGTCATCATGTGATGTCACTGCAGTCTACATGTTCACACCTGACACTTGGAACAAAACAAGATTTTCCAGGCCTATAAAGTGTGGGAAATGTCACTCAGATTTTTTTTAAATTCTCACTCAAAACTGCACTTAACTCTTTAGGGAACCATTGTTGACCGACTACTATTTGACTTTTGGGCATGTCAGGTCTTGATGATTTGAATTCTTAAGAATCAAAATAGGATGTGTGTTATTAATCAGCATGTGTGTTATTATACCCAACAGGAACTGTATAATGTAGTGTATTGTGTTTTCACTTTCATTCACAACAGCAAATTGAACATCTGGAGCATCTCCATCTTTTCCAGGAGAGTCTTTATTGTAGTCTAGCTGAACAATGTTAATGCAGGTATTTATGATTTATAAATAAACTAGACTAAGTAGCCTAATGTCAACATGGTGGCTCAGTGGTTAGCACTGTCACCTCACAGCAAGAAGCTCTCTGGTTTGAGTCCCAGCGGGGTCAGATTGCGTTTCTGTGTGGTTTGCATGTTCTCTCCGTGTTTGCATGGGTTTTCTCTGGGTGCTCCGGTTTCCCCCACAAGTCTAAAGACATGCGGTATAGGTGAATTAAATTAACTAAATGGGATAAGTTGGTGGTTCATTCCACTGTGGTGATCTAAGCCGAAGAAAAATGAATGAATGAATGAATGAAGTAGATTAATCTTAAATAAATGCACCACAGTTTACATTTGTAGTCATGTACAACAAGATTTTAGAAACGGACAAACAAAAACAACGTGTGTTAAGATCACACAAAGGTTTTCTCCAACCTGCCCTTCTCTGCTACAAAACTATGGCCATAGGTGAGGTGGGTCTTCTAACCTGTCTTCTGCCACGCCAGCCAATCAGCGAGCGTCCTTTCCGCAAATCGGCCAATCAGAGAACAGACCCGCCCCTCCTAGAACGCAAATATTTTACAAAGTAAAAAGCGATCAAAGTTTACCTATACGTATAAACGCAAGCAATAAGAACATTATAAGTAGATTTAACTTCTTATAAAGATTTCAAACATATTTTTGAAGCTCAATATAAACTATTAATAACTCCGGGAAGGACGGGACAGGGGTGCTCAGGTGTTTCCTACCTGCTCCTTCCAGCCCTTGAGAAATAATCAGGCAGAGAAAAGTCGATTTACCTGTAGCCCGGGTTCTGGCATCCCTCACTCGCGCTCTGTCTTCTGTTACCTGCACCGACTTGAAAGTCCAGTTTCACAAGGAAGAACCGCGGAGGAAGAGAAATATGTCACAGGAGACAGACAGGTAAGAGTCAGGACTGCGACACAATCTTCCATTACCTCAACACAACTATCGGAACGTCACCGACAGGCATTCTGCATTTTTTACTCGTATAAAAGTTAAAGAGGATCTCTGAACTCTCACTTGTGTGTTTGATAGGCGAACTACGATTACGGCGTGCAACATTGTACAGATTTTGATTGGGATATTGTTAATTTTATTGACAAATCCCACAGCAGACGGAAAGAATATTTTGCGGTCAAAACGCCATTTTTCGCGGAGGAAAAAACTCGATTATAAAGCACCTGGAGTTCAGTCCTGTTTATTTACTGTTTAAAACGGCGATTTATTCACTTCGTGCGATATAAATATTTATATAGGCTATACACATATATAAATAAACATGTTATAGTGTATTGTTCGATTGTTTTGTTTAGTATACTGAAGATGTAGTAGCGTCACAGTATTGCAGTGTTTTTATTAGTTTGTCTTATTTTTTTGTTAAAGTCGTTTGTTTTTTACTGTTCAGATTGTCATTCATAATAACAACCCGTTTATTTGTGTTTGTTGTCACTAACACATTTTTTTGTGTATAAAATAGTAAAAGTATTCAACAGTAAATAGAGTGAATCGAAATGCAGGTCTTGCATCTTCGCTGGATCCAGAGGGATTTTTTATGTCAGGGCGCGACAATTACATTGAAACATTTTTTAGCTGTTCTTATTATTTCAACCAGCTGTAGGTAAAGCTTGAAACTGTTAATTTTGGGCAGAGAGAGTGATTTTGATACATTTAATAATTTCCCTTTTGTCTAAACATAAGAAACTATTTTGCTATTTTAAAGCCTCAACAGGATTTACAAAATGCTGCTTGTTCAAACTACTTTCTTAAAATGAGTTGAAGCAACACAATACTTAATTTAATTTTGAGACAAACATAATTGTTTTATGCTCAATCTAATTAAATTTGTAACAATTAATTTAACTTAATTGATTTGTGTTGGGACAAAATGAAGCAATTGTGTTGAATCCTGCATTTTTACAATGTGTTTATTAAAAACTGTCATACCTAATAAAAATTTTTATGTCATCACTTTTTAATTGAAGAACATATAATAAAGATTCATTTCTCATTTCATTTGTATTCTATGCTACATACCATATTTTCCAGTGAAATACCCTACAGGAGCAGCTGCTCTATATACATAAAGCTAATCTGTGTGTTTACTAATCAATGACTATTGTGCTATAGGACACTACTTGGGCCACTGCTTAGAGTAGACACTTCAATTGTTTTAGAACTTCAGTAAAGTAAAATGAATCCAATGCTAAAAAATAAATTGGGTAGTTGAATTTTGCCTTTAATTGCTTTTGATATACTGTATATGAGCAATTCATGCAAATGTCAACCTTGCCATGAAAAAGTTAAGTATTCACCAAAATATGGAAACCGTTTCTGGGTATTTTGTGCTAGCAAGTGTTTAACAGTACTTTAAAAACACTCATAAATGTATCTGTCAATATTTTCAAACTATTCTATTTTATTTACCAAAGTCAAACAAGTGGCAATTTCACCTCTGTCACATCCATAATAGAAAGATGTCACATCCATAATGACACTTTTTCCTCATAAATGTGAAAATATTAAATAAAATAAAACCAATCTTTTTTGTTTTATAGAGAGCCGACTCTCATCCTTTTGATTATCATTGTTTCTTTTGGGTTGTGCATTTTAATTCACAGAATTTCTACAAAGCATGTTGTACACTGTAAACCTGCAGACTTTTGTCACATCCCTAACGCATGTTTATTTTCCTTATTTTAAGTACAAAACATGTTTACAGATTGATATTTGTCTGATCCCTTAACTCTGTGGTCAGTTGTTCTGGAAAATAAAAACAAATGTTTCAATATAATGTTAACAAATACTTTCTATGCTAATTTATGTTTTGAGTTTTTACTGCAAATGTCACATCCGTAACGCTGGAATTGCTCCTACTTAAATCAAATTATAAATATAAACACAAGTAAACATGCTGTAATTTATGTATTAAATAAACATGATAAATATGACTATTTAGATTTTGAAAATATTAGAAACTAGTGAATAAATAAAGCATGCAAATGCCCTTCTCATTCACTAACCTAGTGGAGAAAGATGAATAATTGAGCAATGACAGACATATAAAAGCAGAATTTCAGTCGAGTTTATATCTGAATGCCATGTATTTTACACAGGTGCTTGGAATGTGTCTTCAACAATGAAAAAAAGATGTAATAATAACAATTGATTATAAATCTGTAGAGCTGGCATAGGTATGGGTAAATAACTTAATAGTTTAAAATGTTGATCATAATAGACTATTAGACTGTTGTTCGAACTTTTGAACGGGACCGTAATAAAATAAAATAAAAATCATCAGCAAGTTTCAATCAGCAACAGAGTATCACTTTTTTAGTTAATATTAAAATCTATTAATTAATACACACATAACCTCTTATGATAAAAATATAACCTTCAAACTCTCAATTTGTAATTTTAGTGCTTTTTTCTTGTAAATAGTTTTTCTCTTTTACATAATCTTTAAGAATGTATGCACACAAATATATACAATAGATATGATATCAAGTTTTAAATGAGACTAAGCCGGGATGCTTCCTGGTTTCATGTGTTTCGCTTCAGCCGTAATGGTCTGACAGGCATTAAAATGCAGAAGGACTTTTTAGTCTCTGCTATCAGTATTTTTATTTGGTTAGATGCGCCTTGCCTTTGGTACACCGTCCATCACAAAAGGCGCAGTGTGCCTGTTTGTTTTCATCAGTATGCAAAATAGAGCTTTTACATGAAGCTTTATCTGCTTGATCATGTCTGAGTTTCTGTGTGCTAATATACTGTTTTATGTCCTTGTGTGCGCGTCCCAGTAAGAGGCTGGTTGTAGTGGTGCCCAATGAGCCGTCTTTCCACCAGCGGCGGCCCTACACGAGCGAGGATGAGGCCTGGAGGTCTTACCTGGAGAATCCACTTACTGCGGCCACAAAGGCTATGATGAGCATCAATGGAGATGAAGACAGTGCTGCCGCCCTGGGGCTCCTTTATGAGTACTACAAGGTCAGCTGAGTTTTTGTTTCACGTGAATATTTATACACACTCATATTCAAAATCCTTACTTTCTTCTGTGGAATGCAAAAGAAGATATTTAGTAGAATGTTCATGCTGTTCTTTTTCATAGAGAGAGAGTCCCGTTTGCAATATCAATATCCCATGTACTCAAAAACACCATTCACTCAAAACAAAGACCTATTTCAATATCACATAAAAATATAAATATAATAATATATGTATATACAGTTGAAGTCAGATATGTTAGCCCCCCTTTTAATTCTTTTTCTTTTTAAAATATTTCCCAAATGATGTTTAACAGAGCAAGATTTTCACAGTATGTCTGATAATATTTTTTCTTCTGGAGAAAGTCTTATTTGTTTTATTTCGGCTAGAATAAAAGCAGTTTAAAATTTTTTAAAAACCATTTTCAGGACAAAATTATTAGCCCCTTTAAGCTCATTTTACAATACCTTGGCTAATTCCCCTAACCTGCCTAGTTAAACAAATTACCCTAGTTGAGCCTTTAAATGTCACTTTAGGCTGTATAGAAGTGTCTTGATATATAAAATATCTAGTCAAATATTATTTACTGTCATCATGGCAAAGATAAAATAAATCAGTTATTAGAGATGAGTTATTAAAACTATCATGTTTAGAAATGTGTCGAAAAAATCTGCTTTACGTTAAACAGAAATTGGGGAAAAATAAACATGGGGGCTAATAATTCAGGGGGGGGCAAATAATTCTGACTTCAACTGTATATATACATTTTGATTACAGAGGATTAAAGTTATTTAGGCTAGCACACTGTCCATTATTTACTCACCCTCATGTTGTTTCAAACCCAAAACAGAAGTCATTCATCGTTGGGACACAAAGAAAGATGTTTTTAATAAAACATGAGAGATTTCCCATGAGCCATAATGAAGAGATAAAAATAAATCCATTGTATTTCCATTAAATTTGTTTATATGATGACGAGATAAGAATTAGCCTCTTATATATACAAGCCACACTGGTCAAGTGAATATACTTGAGTTTCAATTTCAATGTAAACATTGTAAATAATGTTCTTTGATCAATGCTTAAATCTGAATAGAAGCCTAAGTAAACCTGTTCGTCATTTAAAGTGAACATATCTCTTAGAAGGCATGGATAAAGAACTCTTTAGCTCAGGGCTGATCAACCCTGTTCCTGGAGATCTACCTTCCTGTAGAGGTCAGCTCCAACCTTGATCAAACAAACCTGAACCAATTAATTAGGACCTGAACAGAACTTGATATTTACAGGCATCGAGCGAAAAAAAAGAAAAAGACAGCTGGGAAACATGACCTGCTTTGTATTTTTGTAGGAAACACAGTTTAGATCTTTGAATGTCTAAATGTGTCAGAATTATCGAAACAAAACCAACTTAGCTCCACTCCTTTAGCGCCCCTCACAGAGCTTGATCCACACTGGCAATTCTCCCCTTGGGTTTTAGGGTGGTGGAATTTTTTTCCCTTTTCAAAACCTGTCCAAACTTTTAGGATACCGCGTATCAGATTTGCACAATCTATATGGACATTTGCACAACACTTTGGCCTGTTTTCCTCGCTCGAAAGCTTGACAGAGCTCCTGCGCGTAGCTACGGTTGCTAAGCCACCATTGGTGGGTGTCGGTTTTTGGGTATGGCTTAGCGAAGGGTCAATTGTTATATATCTATCATCATTATATCCAATGTACTGTATGTATATCAATCTTACACATTTAAGCAATACAACTTGTATCATTGAATTGTACTTGTACTACAGCCAGCCATATTTGAAGCATTTTCACATTTTTAGCTGACAATATTAGTTACTGATTTCTAGAAACATTTTAAATGCATATGTACCTAAACTATGTAATAATTATTTTAAGATCATTAACTTGAGCAATATTTCAGTTCATTTGACATTTTTTTTGTGTCCAGAAGGTTACTGAATCATCCGGTTCTTTCTTAGAAATATTTTGATTTTAAATGTGAGATTTGAAGGCTAAGCATTTTTTGTGAATTAGTGTCCCAATGTTTTAAGGGGTGGATTTGGGGTCAAATATAAATGAATAAAACTAAGGACATTTAGATCAGCTTACATCTTTAAGAAGTAGCCCATATGTGTTATCTGCATTATACACTATTTAAACTATACACTTAGTGTAACATCAGGTAGGGATGCCTAAATGAAAAAGCATCTGCAGTAAAAAAGAGAAAGAAATATAAACAGAATGATTTGCAATGAATGCAGACAAAATGAAAATACAAGCTTTTGCTTTACACACCAGCTTTAAAGGTGAGCAAAAGTGGTTTCTTAAAGCAATAGTTCACCCAAAAGTTGAATTATTTTAAAGAATGTTAGAAACCAGTAACCATTGACTTCTATAGTAAGAATAACAAGTACTATGGAAGTCAATGGTTATCTTTTTTTCATTTCAAACAAACATTTTTTTAAGTAACTTCTTTTATGTTCGACAGTAAAAGAAACTCAAACAGGTTTTCTGACTAGTAAAAGATTAGTAAATGAATATAATTTTCTGTTTTGGGTGAACTAACCCTTTTTAAGACAAAAAAAAAAGGAGAGCTATCATTCTACATCGCACCATCTCAATGTGATTACTGTTGTTAAACTTGACTTCATTCACCTCCATTGCTTTTTCAATGACATCTGAATTTCTAATCTTACAGATGAGATGTAAGTGCATATATTCAATTCAAATCAGTTTTATTTCCAGATAAAAACGAGACCTGAAACTGATGAGAGAATATCAGAATCCATGTGTTTTTTTTCCGTAAATGTTAGTGGGTCATATAAGATCTGTGCCACATGAAAGATACAAATTGCAATTGGTTTACTTGAACTGTAATGTTATAATGATGCTATAGATGTTCAGCATTCTTTGATTTTTCAGCTTTGAGCTTTTGACCTATGAACAAAAACATAATTAGATCATAATTATGTCACTTTACCTCATTATCCAAAACATACGAGCGCATTAAAAGGACAGTTCACCCAAAAATGAAAATTCCTACTCATCCTCAACTTGGTCTAAACCAGTTTGAGTTGCATTCATTTATTGTACACAAAAGAAGGTATTTTGAAAAATGTTGGAAACCAGTAACCATTGACTTCTATAATATATATTTTTTTCTACTGAATGTCAATGGCTACCAGTTACCAACATTCTTAAGAAAATCTTATTTTTAGTTCAACAGGAAAAAAAATCATAAACCACTTGGATCTGATTAAATATTGAGTACATTTCTATTTTAGGTGAACAATCTCTTTAAAGATATGGTGAAATAATGCTTCATCTTATTATGGAAGTTACAGATTAAAAGTCACTCCGGAAGCAATGAGATTATCACTATGGAGTGATAAACACTGAATAATCAGTGCTTCTGTACATCAATGTTTTATCTTGTACAGGTGCCCAAAGATAAGAGAGTACCTATCAGCAAAGTGGTTGAAATGTCAGACGAACCGGAAAAGAGGTCGGTGATAAATATGTTTAATAAATGCTTTTGTTATTACTAAAAAAATGCACAGAATAACACTTCAATAATTTTTCAGAAGCACACCAGTGGGAAACAGCAGCCAAATGGAGCCGGAGACGGTGGATAATCATGTCCAAGTCCTGAAATCAGTGCCTGTTAATCTGTCACTCAACACGGATCACCAGGACAATAAACGGGAACAGTACAGCGTGCCGGCTGGAGAGAGCGGGACGGCTGCTGTGGTAAAAGCTGAAGCGCACACTGCTGTCTTTATGACTTCAGGGGGACACTACAGGACAGAAGGGGAGGAGCAGATGCGGGTCATCTGTGAACAGACCCACTCATTCGACACCTCCACCATAAATCACAGTGCATATGGAAAAGATGACCATCGCAGTAGTCCAGAAAGCACATATGAAGATGACAGCAATGAAGTGAGAACGAATTCATATCTGAAGTCTATAAAAGTTTGCCATAAAATGTATTTATTTATTTGTTTATTTATTTTTGCAGAAGTACCGCTCGTCTTCGATTGGACCTGATGACTTCATTTTTGACCAGTCACATATGTTGTAAGTGTTATAACTAGTGTATTATATAAAATAATATTCTTTTATTATTATAATGATTTATCTCTCACACACCTAAAAAAAACATGCTCTAATGTTGTTCAACAGAGACACATTTCAATACACACTAGAGGCCAGCAAGTCATTGCGGCAAAAGCAGGGCGAGGGGCCTATGACTTATCTGAACAAGGGCCAGTTCTATGCTATTACACTAAGTGAGACAAGTGCTAATAAACGCCTTCGACATCCCATCAGCAAAGTGAGGGTGAGTGGCTACATACTACTTCTATTTATTTATTTAAGCAACCTGACATGGTAAGTTTTGTTTGTGAGTTTTAATTAACTTTCATATCATTATATTAAGTATACTAATTTATTAAAAGCTCTAAATCGCGTCAAGTTTAATTCAAAATGACCTTTATTGTCATTACGGTACATGTGTGGGCATAAAGTGGAAGGAAATGTTGTGTCTTGCTGGACCACGGTTTTGCATAAATAAACACAATAGTAAATATAAACACAACACTGGATGTAAGCTGTAACTAACATTCTGGAGCGGTAATTATTTTTTACTTTTTTCTTTTTTTTATTAAATGAATACTTCAGTTTACAAGGATAAAATATATTATTTAAAAATAAATGTGTAAATGAGATTAATAATGTTACAAAAGAGTTCTATATGAATTAAATGGAGTTCTTTTGAAATGCATATTTATTAAACAATCCTGAGCAAAATTGGCAAGTTTCTAAAATGCTTTAGCACGTATTATTTTTAGCTGTGATAACTAATGATGACTGTTGTTGAAAATGTAGGTTTGCCTTTAAATATTTTTTTCTATTTTAAAAAATATATATTTTTCTATTTTATAGGAAAATCTAAGGGAAATGAACTTATAAAAACAATTCACAATGTTACTTAATTATATCAAACCCAGTCATGGTTGTTGAGTATGTGCAGGGTTCCCACGGGTCATGGAATTTTTGGAATATCATGGCATTTTAATAGGATTATTTCAGACACTGAAAGTCAAGGAATTTTCTTTTTTATCTTTGTCATGTAATCTATGGTTTTAAAGGGCACCTATGATGAAAATCATCTTTTGTAAGCTGTTTGGGCAGAACTAGGTATAGTGTGTCCAAAGTCATATTGGGGTGATCTAAATACAATAAGTCTCTTTTTTTAAATTTTCTGACGTTAAATTAGGATCCAAATCCCTCCTGTTTTTAGGCCCACCGCATAGGACATAGGAGTGCAGTTTTCCCGCCCACCAATTTGATTGACAGCCACATATTTACATATCTCCATAGTAACGAGTATAATCATATCAACAAGACAGGACGTGTGCAAAACAACTGGGATTAAAAGATCTTTTGAGCTCTCTGTGCTCGTTAATCATCATCAAATGTAATTAAGAATGAGTTTTACAAGTTTAAAACAGTGATTGTTTGTAATAAAGTAAGTTAAAGACGGTAAAATTACTATAATTCATCACCACAGCCGCATGTTAGTACAATTATAAAAGACAACGCTTCAATCCTGGTTTGTGGACGTTAAATCAGGTTTATTTTTGTACATCAACATAACAAATATTCATATTGCAGTGGATATTAACGTGTATCCTGTCACATTTGTTGTGCAATAACAGTGCAAAGTTAAACTCGCTCGCTGTGTGTGTCTGCTATGTGTGTGTGTCTGTATGTGTGTGCGTGAACTTTGTAATGACTTTGTGTGTGACTCATCGTTGCAGAAAGGCTTGAATTAACTCCACAACAAATACATCAAATAATCATTGGGAAAGTTCTTACTGTAGTATTTCTCACAAACATTACAAGAGATCTGCTTCCTTCTTGTCTGTCACTGTGCTTTTTATCTAACGGAGCCAGAGATTGAAAACGCACAAGTTTTGCTACAGTTATGCCATCCGTCCACACTACGCTGGAGTTTTCGAGTGCCAAAAACCGAGCATTTTGGAAACGCTGGAGAGGCCGCTTTCATTCTAAAACGCTGCTGCTCCGTCTCAGTGTGGATGAGGGAAAACGGAGACATCTGAAAACGGCGGGGCTGCCAAGATTCGCTAGCTGATTGGGGCTTTTGTCTCATTGCGTAACCTTCCCTTATTCGTCAAGCCCCTATCACATGACTATAACACATGGCTTCAACTCTACCGGAAGACAACAGACCAGCCTTCACTGTAAACAACAACATGGACACAGAAATGGGAGCACTGTTTGCACTATTGTCTGTTTTAGGCGCCATTGTGCAGTTAAACTCTGCCTTTTTTACTACAGCAGGGGCATATACTCGCTAGAACGGGCATGCCCAGAGTGTGCGAATGGTTGCGTGATATACGTTTTTGGTGGCGTAGTGTGGACAGAGATATGTTCAGAAACGCTAGGTGAAACGCTAGGGTTGACGCAGATCGTTTTTGATCTAAAACGTCGTTTTCAAGCTAAAACGCACTAGTGTAAACGGGGCCTGAGGTGCACTCTGATGGGGCATGTGGGAATGGTGGGCGGGGAGACCTAGCTTTAAAGGCACAGGCAACAAAAACAGCTACAACATGCTTGGAGCTGAAAATTCCAATGTACACAAAGGTATAATAAATAATATGATGGGTGTTTTGAGCTGAAACTTTACAAACACATTCTGGAGACATAAAATACTTATCTTAAATCTTGAAAAAGGGGTAAAATAGGTTCCCTTTAAAATCACCACTTTAAAGACTGGTTGTTAAAAAGAAGATGACAGAAAAGCTGAATGTAAAGTTTGTAATACTACTATTTAGCTATCAAATATGGTAGACGTGCAGTTGCTATTAATATGACTTTAAATACAGACAGAAATGGAATGTAACAACAAAAAAGGAGCTACAAGCACAAACTTTGGCATGGTAGCATATGAATATGTTTTGCATTCTTGTAGTGTATAGTGGTAATAGTTTAACAGCATGCTAGTCTGCTCTTGTCTTGATAACTTGGAACAGGCATGATGTAATAGAGTGGATTGTGATGACATTTGATAACCTTCGTTTCTATAATTTTTTCTATCAGAGTGTCGTCATGGTTGTATTCAGTGAGGATAAGAATCGAGATGAGCAACTTAAATACTGGAAGTATTGGCACTCCCGCCAGCACACGGCGAAGCAGAGGGTTCTGGACATTGGTGAGGCTTTCTCTACATTACTGAGATCAGTGTTTATTCGTAAACTTAGGCCAACCATTCTCTACTAGGCATGGGCCGGTATACGATTCTGACGGTGTGGTAACCTCTGATAAAAATTTTGCAGTATTGGGAATACTGCTATAAAATCTATTCTTTTTAAATGTCTGGAAACTAAATGTAAACTAAAACTTCTCCCCTTTCAAACACAAGATATTTTATTTTAAGAAACAATAAAAATATATTGGTACAGTAAACATGTCAAGCTAAATAATTCAAATGAATCGTTGACTTCTGCTGTCTTCATTTGTTTTAAAAACTGATTTTTTTATTACAATTTAAAACTACATTTTTGGATTTTTTTTTGCTGGAGATACTGTTGTCTAAAAAGCATAAAATGGTAATATCGTACACATACCTTAGGATCGGTGGTCACACTTTACAACAAGGTTCAGTAGTTAATGTTAAGTAATGCATTTTCTAACATGAACAAACAATTAACTAATACATTTACTACAGTATTTATTTATGTTCATAAACGTTAGTTAATGAAAACACAGTAGTTCATTGTTAGTTCATGTTAACTCATGTTGCATTAACTAATGTTAACATGCATGGACTTGAATGTTAATAATACATTAGTAAATGTTCAATTATGATTAATAAATGCTGTACAAGTGTTGTTCATGATTAGTTCATGTTAGTAAATGAATTAACTAATGAACCCTATTGTAAAGTGTTACCGGAAAGGTATTGCAAAACATTTTGCTGGTTTTAAAACTTTGACCTTTTCAAACAGCGGTATACCTTGAAAACGGTTATTATTCCATGCCTATTCTCTACTCACACAAGCTCACACACTTAAACATTTAGTAGAAAACAACAGAGGTGTGTTAGAGTAGGGTTAAAAAATGAAATCTAGAGAAAGGTATCTCTCCAGGAGATGGGTTGGCTACACCTGGTTTAAGCCTCATGCAGTCTAGGACATATATCATTAATGCGAGACATTTTTCAACATTCACTCCCATGCTATTTTTGCACAGAATAAGTTGCCCACCTTGTGATTTTTCATTTTGTATGTGTAGCGTAAGCTTTGCCACTTCTCTTTAACCTCCTCCACTACAGTGCACACACACCTGGTTAAAGGTTTGAGGAAAAATTAGGTCAAATGAAACTCACCATCGATTTCTATTTGATCTGCAATTCCTGTGTGATCAGCTAGAGATTTTGTGCTTCAACTTCAAGGTGTCTTTAACTTTAGCAGCTGAAGACACACGAATTAAGATGCCAGTCACATTGGTCAGCCAGTTTTTAACATAAAAAACCATCAAACCAAAATAAAAAAGCCTCTGGTGTTTTTTAAAAAATCTTTTATTATGTTTTTATGCCTGCTGTTTTGCGGGTCAGTGTGCACACTCATAATGACACCCTTCGATTAGTAATTAGGTGTTAAACATCAGCGATAACTGCATGAAATTGTCTTGGTGTGCACCAGCCTAACAGACGCTAACAGACAGCCTAATAGACACTCTTTTAACTAATTAACAGACAACCTAACTGACTAATAGACACTCTATGCCAGTGGTTTCTAACACTGGTCCTAGAATGTCTCCACATTTGAGTTTGTTGTCCATATTTAAAAAAAAAAAAAACATTTGGAGTTTTTATTAGTGAAGTATTTCTCAATTCTGTTCTTTCAGAATTTCATAAATTTATTTCAAGTCTTGAAGTTTCTACTAATGAGCTGAAAATATAAACAAGTTGTGCTTGATTATGTACCATAAACAGAGGTGTTGAGTTCTTCTGGATGGCCAACAATTGAGTTATGCCCCAGCATACCTAACTGTGGGATCTTGTAGTCTTTGGTCAGCTGGTTCAGTTAATAAGGATTGGTGTAAAACTTTGCAGTACACTAGTAAAACTTCAGAAGGCACTGAATTGAACTGAATAGAAAAGGAAGCTACTGTCACTTATACCTATTTGCAACAATCAGCAAATGACATGAAAGGAGGGCTGCATTATAAGTCGAAATGAAATCACAAAAAAAGCTGCTATTCTCATGCACATCTTGTCAGAGAAACATGGCTCTGCGATCAGTTTAGTAGTGAATCTCTGCCAAAGGACAGAAGGTGTTCTCACCTGGAAACTGCAAATACTCAGCAAAGAACAAATTAAACAGAGAATTTGATAGCCATTATTGATTAAATGTGATTATTAAATACACAACTGCAGAATCATCTTACAGTATTGTTTATTTCAGACACTTGACAAAGGTTATGAAGTAAGTTTTGAGTAAAAACATTGTTAACTGGTATTTCTATGAATTGACTGATGCTGAGTTCACACTATGATTTTAGCGCTGATTTTTTGCTCACTTCTGCATCTAAAGCCAGAGGCAAATCAGTGCTTGTTCACGTTAGCAACAATCATACAGTGTGAATTATCAGAGAGATTATTAGAATTATCCGAGAGAATCGCTGACGTGTCGATTTAAAATCATGCAGTTTGAAATGAGCTCTGCCTTAAAAAACACATCATCGATGACCAACATCAATAAGAGAGCAGAATACAGGTCAGTGCAGAGTTCAGGGAGGTGTTATAAACTTCAATGTCAGAATAAATAACAGTGTGTCTGCACGGTTTAAAAATGTCTTAAAATGCCTTAAATCTCAAAATCTAAATTTTAGGCCTTAAAAAGAGTTAAATTTACTGACATATTCTGCTGTTTAAAGAGAGCTTAATTTTCCTTTGTTTATGTGTAGCTAATCAATCTGGCTAACACCCATATAATCATCAACAATCCATCTCCATAAAACTTTTAACTTTTTATTTAGAGGTAATTTTTTACTCTATTTATCATAATGGTTTAATTATTTTCTTTACAAAAATGTTTGTTTAAAAGTTCTCCATGTATTTACTGCTGAGGACACCGAGCTGGACAGATTGTTGTGCATAGATTATTATTGTAGTTTTTTTAAACTTTTAAAACATTTGTTCTTTTTTTTTTTTTTTTAAAGAAAGTTTGTTGGGAAAAAAAGTGTATGGATTCACGTAGAGTTTGCTTGTTTTTACACAATATTTAAAATATTTTGCTAAGAAACATCTAAAATAGTTTATTTTTATTATTAATTTTTATTAATTGTAATATATTTTTTGACAGGGCAAATCAAATTTTTTCCATTTGGGCCGTTTGAAAAATTCCTCAGCCCTTTATGAGTTTAAAATTTGATTAATAATGCTCTTAAAAATGTTTTGAAAAGTCTTAAATTTAACTTTCATTTGCAGAAACCCTGAAATAAGTTTTACATTGGCATTAAACAGAAACAAAGGAACATTTGCTTGATCAGCTGCAGCAGCAGCAGATTACAAATTATTTATTGACCTTTACCTATTTTTTCTCTTTTTACACTGCTCCTCCAAAAATATTTCCTCCTTCAAAATCTTTTCATTTTTGTCCTTTTGCTTTAAATCATAATGAAACCCCAGACCATTAGAATAGCGAACTATTCATTCATTCATTCTTTTTCTTTTCGGCTTAGTCCCTTTATTAATCTGAGGTCACCACAGCAGAATGAACTCCAACTTTTCAGCACATTTTTACACAGCGGATGCCCTTCCAGCTGCAACCCATCTCTGGGAAGCATCTATACACACTCATTCAAACTGATACACTACGGACAATTTAGCCTACCCAATTTACCAGTACCGCCTGGCTTTGGACTGCGGGGGAAACCGGAGCACTCAGAGGAAACCCACATGAACACAGGGAGAACATGCAAACTCCACACAGAAACGCCAACTGACTCAGATGAGGCTCGAATCAGCGACCTTCTTGCTGTGAGGCGACAGCACTACCTACTGCGCCACTGCGTCACCCAATAGCGAATTATTTAAAATATTACTGCACCATTTCCAGTCTCAAACATGATTTTTTTCACTTCTCTTATTTGTTTGTAAGCCAGTGTTATCAGTGATTGCTTAGTGTAGTTGTGGAGTGTGTATCCTCTTGTCACAGATCCATTGTGCAGTATGAACGCAGCAGCAACTGAACACTACCCAAGATAGTCATGCAGTGTGAAAACAATGGCGATACGACAATGATGAAAATCATGCAGTGTGATCTCGGCCTGAGAAGCAATGCAAACAGCTGTCGAATCCCAGAATGATTATCTTCCATTTTCAAGTCAAGTCATTTCACCAATATACAGTGCAGTGCACGGTGAAAAGAAACCATGATCCTCCAGGACCACGGTGCTACATCAAACAACATGAATTGAAAACATAACACAGGACTACAAACTACTATACAAATGTAGAGGAATGTAATAAAATAAGATAAGATTAAAAAAAATAGGCAGCACGGTGGCGCAGTGGGTAGCACAATCACCTCACAGCAAGAAGGATGCTGTGTTTGTGTGGGTTTCCTCCAGGTGCTTTGGTTTCCCCCACAAGTCTAAAAACATGTGGTATAGGTGAATTGGGTAAGCTAAATTTACCGTAGTGTATGTGTGTTTCCCAGTGATGGGTTGCAGCTGAAAGGGCATCTGCTGCATAAAACATATGCTGGATAAGTTGGCAGTTTGTTCTGCTGTGGCAACCCCAGATTAATAAAAGGACTAAGCCGAAAAGAAAATGAATGAATGAATGAATAAACCAAAATAAAAATTAATAACAATGAGTACAGTTTGTGCAACAGTGAGTACAAATATGACAGGACAGACACGGCAGGACAAGAAACAGTTCCGCCAACCAGTACATTACGGATGTTGTGCAAATATTAGAGCAGATATAAATACTGTACATGTAAACATTTGTCATTGAGGTAGAAAATGTTGTACAGAGCAGTGTAAAAATAGCAGTTGCAAATATTCCTGTTGTTGTCCATTATTTTTTTTTTGTCTGTGTGTGTGTGTGTGTATCTTGATGTTTAGATGTGATTTGAACATTGTGTATCTGCAATGTTTTGTGTAGGTTGTCAGTGAACTATAACTCTGTGTAGTGAA